GAAGTTTTTTTCTATTTGGGGAGGAATCCAGAGAATTCATTTCTTATTTTTTTTACCTACCTTATTTTGGCTCGTATTTTTGCCTGCCAGAATTGTTATCAAGAAAGCAGCATTCTGCTCAATTATAACGAGCATTTTAATTTAATCTTGTTATGATTCTAATTTTTTTATTATCTTACCATTAATCTTAATTATTTGATTGTTTTTTTTTATATTAAAATATATATTTTTTTAACTTGCAATAACTGTTCATACCTGATTCTGTTGGAAGGGAGTGTCTGTACAACAATCATTTTATACTAAATTTCAATTTAAATTTTCTTTGCAAGACACTCACTTTTTTGCCAGAATTCAGGGATTTAATATTCCAATTATTGGTGAACCTGATACTGCCTTATTCTTTTCTGGGTACCCACTCTACATAAAGATCACTGTTTGGAGTCTGGATCAGCTGGAGTGACGTCACCCCAGCAATATATCCTCTTCCTGGATACAGGAAACAACACGAAGAGGTCCAGTTCATGAAAGTGAAACCCCAACACCCATTGAAGAGCTCCGGATTGGAAAGTAGGTACTTGGTATCAGATTCACCAAGAAAAACCAAGCTGTTAACACTGAAATTGACTACATAATATTGTACACTAAATAAAATTATTGTTTGTTGGATTTTGAGTGGTTTCATTTGCACACAAAGGGGCTACACGTTATCTTAATTTTTTCTTTAAATTCACGACCCTAGGTTATCTTTTTCTTAAAGTAACAAATAAAACTATTTTATTTGTAATAAAGTCCGTGGAATTATAACAACGTTAACAAAACGTGCTCGGAACATCTACGAGCCACAATATCTCAAGCAAGAACTGGATCATCTCAAGTCAGCCTTTCTATCAAATGGTTACAATGCATCTGAAATCAACAGGGCCATGCGACCCAAAACTGCCACACGACAAAGCGTGGATGAACAACCACTGGTGGCTAATGCATATCTGCCTTCCATTTCTCGGCTGACAGACAGGATAGGGAAAGTCTTGAAGAAACACAACATAAAAACAATCTTCAAGCCAACAAGGAAAATACAGCAATCAATCTGATCAGCCAAGGATAAGAGGAACCCACTGTCAAGCGCTGAAGTCTTTTGTATACCATGCACATGTGGTAAGGTATACATAGGAACGACAAAAAGATCCATGGAAACCAGGATGAACGAGCACAAAAGAAACTGCAGACTAGGACAATCGGAAAAATCGGCAGTTGCGGAATATACGCTTAGTGAAGGGAATCATGAAATAATCTTTGGTGAGGTCAAGCTTCTTGCACCGACTTCCGGATACCACAATCGTCTTCTACATGAAGCTATAGAAATCCACAAACATACGGAGAACTTCAACAGGAAAGAAGAAACACTAAATCTGGAACTCAATCCTCAAAAACGCAAGAAAGATCTCTGAAGATGCTAGCCACGCGTGCTAGCGAAACGTCAGGAAGAAATTCCAACTTACGACGGCCATTAAGCCCGAATGAAAATCCCTTATCAATATTACAGGGTTCTTGAATGGACCCTAATTTAATGAAGAAATATGCATAAGGAAATAGAAAACATATCTTTCTAAGGCGAAAATATATCTTCACTTGTGGTCGGCACTTTGGAAAAAAATTATCTGCATCTCACTGATACTTCTTGTCAATACTAAATCCATCTATAGATGTTTAATAAAATCCTTTATAACAAATTTCAAGTATTTCAAGCCATCTGCCTTCTAACTACTAGCTGAATTCAAATTAATGAGGAAAATCAATTCCTGTATATCCGGCATCAGTGCAACAAAGCAAAAAACCAAATCCAAATTTGTTACATAACTTTAAAGCTTAGGACACACATATATCTTTGAAATTCGAAAGAAATAGTCATTGCTAAAACAGCTAATCGCTATTTATGGTACAAATCCTTCGGACAAAACTTATCTGAACGGCCCCAGACCTAAGTATATTTGGTTTAGTGGATTTGCATAGTAAACCGTAACGGCCGTTTGCATTTCGTGAATTCCAGCGATGCACGTGGAATAAGATTTCAGTTTTTTAAATGCTGGCTTCTATTGTTTGCGTTTAATTAGGCACCGATTCATTACGTTGATGAATCGGGGTCAAATTAATTAAACAAACGAGCTCAAAATTGATTAATTAATACAATCAATTTGCCAAAAGCTTTGTAGGATTTTCCGGGGAAAAACTATTGTTTTAAATTTCAGTTTTTGAATTTTAACTTTTAATCTTGCCGATCGCCATATTGTCGAATCTACTTTTAATTATTGTTGATAAATTGATAAACTATAAAGTGAAATTATATGCAAATAAGCTTTTGATGCTTTCAAATTATTACCCGTCAACAAAATGGAACAAGCTTTGGTAAAATATATATTATAATTTTTCAATGCAAAACTCATAAAGGCCTCTCATATTTTGGTCTATTATGGCGGTGCATACTGACATATTTTTAATGTCTCTACGTTTGCCCGGCCAGCTATTAAATATTTAATTTTCCAGGAAATTTATTAAAAAATGCCCAGGACCGTATAAAAATTAATTAAAACACATGCTCTTTTCCGCTTCAGCCCAAAGTCATGTGGCTGCTTTCACGTTTTACTCTGGCTTTTATTAGTTTTACTTTTTTTGCTTATATAATCTATATAAATCACGTTTGCGTACGTTGACGTTTTCAGTCGATTAAGCTCGGTTTCGCTAAAGTCAGTCGTAGGAGTTAAGCTTGCAAAGTTAATAAACAATTTAGCCAAATTAACTGGAAGTTTGAACTTTATGAAGTTTAACAGCCCGGGATCAAATTGATATTAATTAGCGAACTTAATATTCGGCAAATTATGTGGTGGCGGACGGAGAGTCGCTAAAGTTTGCGTCTAAACAAATTAGACTCTTTAAAATCTCGGTCGGCGAATGCTAAAATCAACTCACTTATTAACCGTTTTATGATGGAGGACAAATTTCAAACTGGCTAATTTTTAATGAAGTGCGCGTCGTATCGTATCTTGTTAGGATTTCTTTATGAATAAATTTAGAAATTGATAGTTGATTTTAGTACTTTTGTGTGAGGCACCCCTCTCTCCTAATAAATATAATTGAAACACCTTTTATTCTATTGAAACTGAGTTGTCTCAGTATCACAGAAAAACATTTGGGGAGACATTTATTTTGTTCTACTAGAGAGAATCAAATACTCCAAATCCTTAAGCCTTCAACTAACTATTTTGTCACGCTTTTAAAGTAATTGGGATCGCAAAACATTTGAGCTTTGCCAATATGAATTTGGGTAGAAATTATTATGTAATATTAATCCTGGATAATAATTGGATTGCTGAGTTTTGGAACAAATGTTTAGAACTCAGAAATCAAAATATTACTCTATATTGTGCCGACAGATCTATGTTACATCAATACAATTTATGTAAAACTTATATATAGATTAACCAGATTAGATTATTAGCCAAGAAATACGTAATATTATAATGACAAAAAGTTTTTATCGGTCTAATCACACGTCGGACAAAATAATCAACACAATATAATGAGGCTGACTATGTTCTAGCGTGCTACAGCAAATCATTGTTTAATAATCATTATTTGCACGACCAAAATTTTCCTAACACGCACATTTTCTGGCCGAAATCACTAAATTAAATCTTCCCTAGAGAGATCACCATTAGACCTCTCTCTAAACTAATGGAGCTAATAGCTTCCAGGTAAAACCATACAGTTCCGGCCGTTTTCGGAAACTATCAGGGGGCTGGCAAAGTAGTTAATTGGCACGGTTCGACAGAGAACGGGACCATCTTTTGATGGGCCCTGAAACTTTAATGTTTACGATCTGAAAAGGGTCAACTTGCCTCTGTGGAGCGACGGAAAAAATTGGACCTGTCAATCGATTTTTGGTTCGGGACTAATATTGTATAATGATGTACTGCTTATGATACAATTTTCATTTGGGAATTAAGACAGTAAATTTGTAAAAAAGTTTGCAGATACCTATAAATTGTGATTTTCACCTTACTCTGGAAGTTTTCTTGAAAAGTGAATATTTAAGAAGGATAATGTGAAGAGTGTGATTTTTGCATTAAAAGGTTTCAGAATCGGAGCATCAGCAAGAAGTTGGTTCGACTTAATAGAAGATGGGCTTCCTGTAAGTACGACATTAATTCATTCATGTAAATATTCTCTTTTGTCATTATAATGGATTCACTTATTTTATGAAACTGTAGCAGATTACCAAAGTACTCTATCAATTAGTTAGATATTTAATGGGAAACTGAATGTCGTGTTAGACTTCTTCCTTAGTTATATCTAGTCCTTCTCGTGAATACTCTACAGGAATGTCCGATCTCTCGTTTTGAAACAGGTTGTCGATGTAGCTGCATCACTGTTCTACTTTGTCGTTGACATCAAGAATTATCTTATCTTGACTGTCCATCCAGAATACCGGTATTTCGAGGTTTGTATACACCACCTCTCTACTTGATTGTTCAAATACCTTTAGTCCCATCAATAGTTTGCGTGATTTCGATACGTTGACCTAAATTCTTCTCCCGTTATTTTTAAATATAATAAATCTATCACTTAGTACCCATAATTTATTGACTTTAGCCTTGCTTCCAATATCTTTCGAGTGCCTAGTTTTTAGGTTCAGGAACCTCGTGATACTCCCTGATTGTAGTTAATTCAGGGTTCCAGATAACTCCGACTTCCAGTTCTTATCCTGTCCCTGTAAATTATTGCTCCATTTTTCTAGATCTCCATAGAGAGTGCTAGAAATTAAATCAATTCTATTCAAAGTTAACATTTGCATCCTCCAGCTAGCACCAAAGCCAAAGGAATCTAATAAATATACAAAAAGAATAATTTTGCATTTTATGAAATGCAGCAATCCGTGGCTCTCTAGCCTAGCCTAGCTCCATATAACGATAATAATTTGCATTTTATTCAAGATTGTTTCTTACCTGTACAAGTTCGCCGAAAACGCCTCCGCCAGCGGTGAAGTTGAGATAACAAAGAAACGGCAAATCGGGAGGTTTTTTCACTTCCAATTGATATGTGCGTCCCACGAGGCCGTAGTATGAGATATTGCAAGCTGCAATAAGAAAAAGAAAACTTTTTGAAATCCCGAGCGGTTTAGCATCGGAGAAAAAATTTGAAATATAAGTTAAATGAAGTGTGGGTTTTGGGTGTGACAGGAAATTTATCTGCTACACGTAAAAGTTTACTAAAAATGTTTTATATCTGATCTGCCACCCGAAATAAAAGCGACTCGTGTTCAATTTGCCTCTAGCAAAAAAGATAAACTGTTTGGAAAAGTATCGGGTTTGTCTTTGTACATTATTTATTTACCGAAAAGGCAAGTTTTTCTCTCAACTCCTAGAAGTCGGTCACGAAAACACGTATCATATTAGGACGACGGATATATTTATCCCGTGCGGAATTGGATATTTTATTTTATACCAGAGAGCGAAAATAGTTTAATTTAAAACCTGGGCAATAAAATTCGGCCGAATACATAAGGAGGAATATTACGTGAGAAACGGGGAAAATATTTTGCTCTTTTCCTCTCCACTTGGCCTGATAAATCCACAGTTTAGCTCGAATATATGGCCGCCCCCTTCCTGCTAGCCCTAAACGATAAATCTTGCCTTTTGCAAAACACCTATTGCATCGGTTCTGCTTTCGAATAATTTAACGAATTTCTTTATTTCTGTTAAATTTACTAGGGAATTTTTAAGAAATTTTCATGGATATGTATGTATTTTTTCACGGTGAGATGAAGGATAAAAGTTTTTTAACTTTACAAATAAACTTGAAAACTAACTTTTATTGTTCTCTTGCGAAAGTTTATGTCAAGGTGCAGGTGAGTACCTATAATTGGTTATCTTTCATATTTTGAACCATTCAACATTTAGCTTATGTACAGGGTGTCCAAGATTTGATGGTTTTGGTGGGTTTCGTTTCGGGTATTTCTGGAGGAGTTGGAAAAAATCTGACACTCACTTGCGAGCCTCGATTTTCAAGAGAAGTTGACCGTTGAAACCCGCATCTCGATTCGTTTTCAAGCTACAGAAAGTTATAGACCCCCTGCCAAACTCCAAACTTTTCAAAAACACTTCGAGGCATAAAAACGACTCGACATATCGAGATGCGGTTTTCACCAGTGGGGATCAGATCTTTTCCAACTCTTTTAGAAATACCCGAAACTCCCCAAAAACCATCGAATCTTGGACACCCTGTACAACAATAAATAAGGATTTATTGATTTCTTATTCAACAAAAAGTTACAATGAATTATGTATCCAAAAGATAAAAAGTTCAGCCAGAAGAGGCCGTTAGAACAAACTGGGGCAACCAAATAAAACACCGATATGAATAACAAAGGTTCAACTCCGAGTCAATGATTCAATTTTTATCGTCGGAGCATCAAACAGTAAAAAAGCTGTAAACCCAAAATATAAAACTATATAAGAATTGATTCTTAGGCAGGTTTTTTGATATCTGATCGAACAATTATTTACAGACAAAACAAATTCCATTATAAAATAAATCGGATGTTTTGACAATAAATAATTGAACTACAAAATAAACTGAGGCAACCAGACAAAAGAAACAAACAAGTTGTGACACAACGGAAAAATGACGTACGGCGTCTGGAAATATTACAGTTTCAGCTTTTTATTGGCTACAAACCGCAATACATCTTGGAATTCACTTTATCTTGTCGTCTCTGATTTGTGCAGAAACTTATATAAAATTTACTTGTGATTTATATACAAAAACATGTTTATTTTTAACAACAAGAAATCCCCAAATGACCCTCATAAAGATACTCTCTCACTCCCCGGTCGGTAAAACTTCCTTCCCGAGTATACGGGCATAACGTGAGGCGCTTCAACTTAAAATGCAGTTTTTGCCCTTATTTCACTTCGGTTCGCTTCACGATAAATCCGTAGACAGGAATTTCGTATTGCAGCCTTTCTGGTTTATTGAGGCGTGTGCATCCAACAAAAATCACGTCGAACCATAACAAAGAACGGAAAAACATTTTGGAATTTGTTTTTGTGAATGCAATTTTTCTGTCTGGAGAAAGTGTAAATCGTATTAACCAAAACTTTTAAATTAATTTCACATGAAAATTCTTTCAATATACGAGGAGAAATTACTTGAGATTAAGTTGTAAGATTGATGACAGGGTGAGGAAAACCATCTATTTGAAATATTAATTCTTCAAATCTTAAATTCTTAAAACGTTTAGTGAAGAAAAGTAAATGTTGCAACCACGTATGCGCTGTGAAATTTATGGGAATGGGGACGCGCCATAAGAAAGGTACCGAAGGGTAGATAGAAAATTAGAGACCAGAGCAAACAAGGTTGTCCGCCATTGTTCATTATTCAATTTTTATTTTGTATTAAACCGATTGTTCAAGTTTGTGATTAGTTTGTGTGTCATAAGGAGCATTCACAGGTCAGTTTGAGGAAAACCACCTATTTAAAATATTATTTCTTCAAATCTTAACTTTTTAGAAAAAAGTTTATTTATTTATTTATTTATTTATTTACGGGCAAGACCCATTAAAAGTTTCAAAAGAAAAAGAAACAACAAGAAACATTAAGTACCTTACAACTAAATAAACATAGGCCAGTAATACTTGGCGTAGTAACAGGATAAAAATACATATAAATTATTAACAGTAAAACATTAAATCAGTTATAGGTATAAGAAAATAGAGGACAAACATAAATAATGACTGATCAAGATGACTAGAAATTCTTAGCTATCGAACTTGGTATCACAAACAAACGAGGAGAATTACATTAGAGAGTTAAGCTCTCTTTTAAAGCTATTTATGGGTCCAAAAAAATCCAGGCTACCATGGGTGTTACATAATCGAGAAGTTCTGGAGATGAATGTATTGAAACCATAGTTTGTACGGTGATTTCTTTCTGAGAAGGTTATGGCAGAGCGGGTGTCCCTTGCTGGGACGTGAAGCCCTATTCTGGACAGTAGGTATGCGGAATCACTAATGGAGTTCAGTACCTTGTAAAAAGTATATAAATCTCTTTGATTGCGTCTAGCTGCCAAGGGTTGTAGATTGAAGCGTCTGTATAGGTCGTCATAGTCATATACATAGTTCTCAGGCGAAGGAATACCTGCCTTGAAGGCTAAATAACGTACGAATTTGCGCTGCACTAGCTCTAGGGCTCTGATATGATTAGAATACATTGGTGACCAGACAGAGGAGCAGTACTCCATCAGGGGCCTCACCATTGAGCAATAAAGGTGTCTGACAGAATATATGCTTGTAAAATCTCTCGAACACCTCTTAATGAAGCCTACAAGTTTTAACGACCTTGTTGTGATGTCTGAAATATGGGTGATAAAATTGAGACTGCTGTCAAAAATGACACCAAGATCTCGTTGTTGTGAGACAGTTTCAAGCGGAATGTTGTTTATATGGTACGCGAATTGTGGAGGGCTACGACCCTTGGAGAAAACAATGGCTTTGCATTTGGAAGCATTGAGCTCCATGCCGCTCCAAGCGCACCACTCAGAGAGTCTGTCGAGGTCAGATTGTAGTCTGGCACAGTCTTCAATAGAAGAGACCCGGGTGAACACCTTTAAATCATCCGCAAAGCACAGGAACTCACTGTTAATAAAACAAGACTTTATATCGTTAATAAAAACGTTGAACAGCAGAGGTCCCAAGTGAGAACCCTGTGGAACGCCCGATGGGATGTCAATTTCGTGTGAGAAGAAGTTGTTAACTTTGATTATTTGAGTTCTCTCCCCAAGATAGTCGCTAATCCACTTCAACAAAGTACCGGAGATTCCAGCACTTTCAAGCTTAGCATGCAGAACGGCATGGTTGACACGGTCAAAGGCAAAATCGGTATATATGGAGTGAACTGATTCGCCATCCTCAAGAATTCTTGAAACTTTGTCCTGGTAGGACAGGAGATTGGTTTCAGTTGAGCATTTTGGACGGAAACCGGTCTGCTGCTCAATTAGACAGGGATTGATTTTTGGAGTTAAAAACTTTGTCACTATGCTCTCAAATACCTTTGGGAAGGTGTTTTGGATGATAATGGGCCTGTATTTTGAAATATCCATTTTATCGCCAGATTTATGAATGGGTATGGTGAAGCTCTGCTTCCAGAGTTTAGGAAATTCACCCAAACTGAGTGACTTATTGAAAAGAATGAAAAGTGGACGGGATAATACAAAGCTACAATTCTTTATCATAAGAGGTGGGACACCGTCTGGACCTGGACCCTTAAAAGACTGCAGGCTACATAGTTCTTCATAAATAACTGATATTGAGATGTTAAATTCATGAATATGTGCATCGCTCCGAGAGATGTCCTGACTAGCAACACAGATTTTGTTGGAATAAACAGAATAGAAGAAGTATTCAGCAAATAGATTAGCTATCTCTGAACCATTTTTGGCAATGTTGCTATTATAAAACATGTGAGACGGCAAACCATTCGCTTTTCGCTTGGCATTGATAAAAACTCCAGAAGTGTTTGAGGTTGTGATCATTCAGCAGTGACATTTCAGAGCGCTGCACATAATTCAGATAGGAGTCCTTTGAAAGAGTCTTACACCGAGTGCGAAGATTCGAGAAGTTGTCATAGTCACTAGGAGAGCCAGTCCGCTTCCAGGTTCTGTGTGCTTCTTTCTTCTTGATTATGAGTTCCTTTAGGTCGAAGGGGAACCATTTAGGAAATTTATGGGTGGAAAGCTTTTTCTTTGGTACAAAGCAGCCAATAGCAGTGTAAAGAATGTCATAAAAAATACTGACCATTTCTGCTACAGTTGGGCCTTGGAGTAAAGCATCCCAGTTGATCATACTTAGATGATCATTGAGAAGTGCATACTCGGCAGATTTAAAATCATAGTAGTACTCATCAGGTTGCGGGTAGTCTGAGTTACACTGCTGGGTCTCGGCGTATAATATGTTTAATATTAATGCAGGGTGATATGAATCAATAGGGAGAAGGATGTCATCTGCCAAGGTGCAGGTGTCATCAGGATCCTGACTAAACTTCAGGTCTAACAGAGAGCCATGCGCATTGTGGAACTTG